ACAGAAAATATTTTATGAAAGAAAAACGCAGAAATATTTGCTAAAGTTAACTATTTTGTGAAATGCTTTGCGCATGCAGTTTTACGGAATGTAAAAACCGAAATTGATTTTTTAATATTAAGCGACGTCAAAGAGTTGACAGCGATAATCGTTGGCAGTTAACAAGTTAAGCGCGTTAAACAGGACGCACAGGATATGGTATATATATATATATATATATATATTAGCATTCTCTGGCTTTATTTCGCTGCTCATTAAAGCGCTCTCATATGATATGGTCATTTAATTGCAGCAATCGAGGTGCTCAGTTGCAGCTCTGGTTGGCCGTGGCAAAGTTTTTTAATTACTAAAGTTTTCTGTCTGCTGCAGCTGCAAATTAAACATTTACTTAATATTGCACGTTGTTGTTGCTCTTGTTGCAATTTGCTGTTCAATTTGAAGTGGGAGCTGCCACGCCCAGCATCTATTACGCCCCCCTTCAGGCAGCTGCAAAGCGGCAAATGAGACGCGTTTACTGACACTTGTCAAGTTGACTTATGGCCGTGTTGAAACTTCACTCGCACCTGCCCCACCCCGCAACCCGCACCCCGCTCCCCCAGCTGTCAATGAGCATATCTATGCATTTGGGGCTCTTATGCACAAATGAGCAAAAGTTAACAAGCGGCAAAGGACACGGCGGCAGACAGACAAGCACGCAGGCAGGCAGCAGGCGGCTGGCTGGCAAACGAGCTGTCTTATTACAGTTTCTGGCTCCTTGCTCCTGCTGCCGCCTGGCACTTGCAGCTTTTCGCCGGTCCTTGCTGCTCCTTGCTGATGCAAGCTGTGGTTTTCAGCGTCACGCCGTTCGCCTCAAGCGTTAAGCATGCGGCTGCAGCTGCTGATCCTGATGTGCGCGTTTTAAGTGCCCTCTCATAACCGCACACGCTATCCAAGTATGTGAACGAGACTGTGTGTGTGTACATATTTTGGTGCGCGAAACCGCAAGCGCAATTATTTAAACAAATGGGTTAAGAACTTTGCGCGTAGAAAGTGCGTGCAAAACTTTCAGTAAAGCACAAACAAAAGCGCTTCCGTTAGTTATTCTGATTTAAAAAGAAAAACGATTTACACACTCGCTAACTCTTGCGCCCTCTTTCTCTCTCTATTTCTATAATTTTTCAATCATTGGCTCTTTCACCTAAATTTAAATAAAACTATGTATGTAAGCACTATTTCAACTCATGAAAATCGCATAGATGGGCGATATTTAAGAAACTAAAAGCGAGAGACATACTGAAAGTTGGAGTGCAAGCTAGAGAGAGTAAGCAATAAGAGATTGCGAATATGGTATAAGAGGAAGATTTGCTTTTTTCGCTTACAGCAAAGCGAGGGTTATTATCAATATTGTGAAAAACGCTACCCATTGTCAATTTGTGCAGTGTGGGGACTTAAGAATGCAAAACACAAATGCTTCATGTCATAATTCGCAAAACGTCCCGAAAACAAGCTTTGGCAAACATGTCAAAATTGTTCCCTACGCTTTCATTTTCTTTTCCGACAAGTGAATGCAACGACAATCCCCATGAACTATAACATTCCAATAAAAATCAAAGTTTACGCGTAGACGAGCGCTTGACTTTCAACCCGTCAAATGCATTTGGCTACAACTTCTCATGCAGAGCACACACACACACAGACAAAAACACACACGCACATGCACAAGCAAAGAGAGAGAATCACGCATATAATTTACACATAACTTTTGGTTACGGTTTAACATTTTGTGGCTACATTTTAATATCTACCGAAAGTGGGCAGAAAGTTACGACAGCCAAACAGACCGCAGACAAAGGACAACAGACAACTGGGGCAAAGATGGCAGAGAGCAAAACCCAAAGTGATGCGAAATGCATCTGGCATGCCAGACCATACAGACAGACAGTTGTTGTTGGGTTGTGCGCCAAACTTTTGACCAGCTATTCGAGATATGCCACTTGGTAATCAGTAGCAACTGCTTTGTGTGCGTGTGTGTGTGTGGCTGACAAATTAGCATGCTTGCCAGTGGAAAGTTGCTAGCAGTATCAGAATCATTGGCTTTTAGTTCCCTGCTGCCTGCTATTGTTTGCTGTTTGTCTTTGTGGCCGGGCTTAGAACGTCAGCGCGTTTGTTTAAAGCCCTTAATGCAGCGACATACGTGTATATGTGACATGGTATAGCTCACTTTGAGCCAGCGTATTTGTGCGTGTGTATGTGTTTGTGTCGCTTAAATTACAGGCAACATTCGCGGACTGCCGCAAGAGGCAGCGACGGGCTTCGAAACTTTGTCTTGGGTTCAAAATGCAGCAGCAGCAGCCAGCGACAGCAACAAGCAAATGCAGTGCAACTTTATTAAAAAGTCGTAAAAGTTATAAAAACTACTAAAAGCAATGGTAATAACTTGTTGTTGTTTTTTATTGTGCTACGGTAAAGGTAGAAAACGGCAAAGGTAGAAAACTTTGCGTTGACAACAAAAAACGTAAAGGCAGGCAGCAGCCGCGACTTGAAATGCAAAAGCGAAAAACCCAACCATGTAATTTGATAAGTGCGAGACGTAACTCGCGCCACAAAAAAAAAAAAGAAAGAGGAAAATGAAAACCTGCTACCTCCAAAAAATCAAATAAGAAACCAACTTTTTAGCTCAATTTTCTTCTCATTGCAAATGTTATTTGCAGGCCGCGCTCAAAAGTATGCAATGCCTTTGCGGCGAAACAGGCAACAATGTCTGCTCCAAAAAAAAACAACATGGCGTCCCTATGACTGTCGATGGCGGCAGCGTTGCCAGATCGCTGTAAGCACGCATTACACTGTTGCTTTAGCTATATTGCGGTTTTTATGGTCCCTCGCAATGTGAACGACTCCAAATTTGTAATATATACGCTTGTATACGGAGCCACGCTCGTTTGGGGGCGGGCAAAACGCATAAATCTATAGGGAAGCAACGTTTTAAAGCCGGCGACGAAAAAGTTTACAGATAGACTGAGAATGTCCTCTAAAAATGATCTATTTTATAGAGTTTTCAAGCTATAGTGCGCAATATTCAGAATGGAGGCCTACTGATGAGCTTCTCCAAAGATCGACCTGGAAAATAATTATATGGAGGCGGGGATTAATGTATATTCTTTATAGTCTTAAAGCGAAAGTGCGTATGTCTTGAGGAAAGCACTTCGATCCACCATTATTTTGGCTAACCGGAAGGAGCTATATATTTTAACAAATATCTCGCGCAACATCTCTTAAGCTTCTTGACCGTGAACGAGCATTATGCAGTCGGTTGCACCGCCGTTCTTAGCCATTGTTGTGATTGTGGCTGTGATTGCAGTTGTGGTTGCACACTCTTTTGTAACTGTCGTTGAGCTGTTGTCGTTCTTTGTTGATGGCGCCCAGCAAATGCTTGTTGTACAGTTTATTATGAGGTCCAAGTTTCTGTTTGTCGTTGTGCATAATGCGCTTTAGTCTTGCGCACAATATTGTTTATTTCTAAAGCAGCTCGTTTGGCGTGATTGTGTTTGCTTTTTCAGGGCACATTTCATTTTTATATATTGCATAAATATATTCCTGTTTTAAAGCGGAGTTCGCTATTAAATGCAGGCAACAAAAATTGAGCAATTTATGTGCCGAATCCAAGCCTAACTTTAAGTCAATTAGTATGCAATGTTAAATGTTTGAAAATTCACAAATTTCCGAGCACTCAATTAACAATAATGCCGCTGGTTTTTAGCTCATGCAAATTGCATTTGCAAATTTAATACAATTTAGTTTGCATAGCTAAACAGGCACCAAATTGTGCAAAATGCAAAACCTGTTGACTATTTAATTGAGAGCAAACCGCAAAAACTAAAAAAAAAAAAAGGCAACGCATATTTGACGCATGACATGAATGGAAAATCGAAACTCAAATATTATGCAATTTTAATTGTTGTTGTTGTTGTTGTGACAGCTGCATAATATTAATTGCGTTTATTGTGCGCACGTTAGGCAATAATTAGCATCGAATTAATGCTCAAAGAGCAAAACAATTAGTCGAACACCTCAAAACAAACTTGAAGCGCATACACACGAACACCTCACGGCACACACACCTGAGGCGCCGCCCATCGGAAGCAACCGCAAACATTGCGTAATCATCTGCAGAGTCATCATCTTGATAATTATCCTGATTGGCCGGCGGCTGCATAATTCAATTTAAGATTTGAATGTGATCTACTCAATGCGTTCAATCAAACACTTTGCATGCGGCCAGTAATTACGCAATTTACCCACAGCAATTCCTCCTGCTCCAACTGAAGTACCTCAAAATCACGCCAGAATTTTGATTATTTGAAATCGAATAGGGCTAAAACAAGGCGAAATCGGGGCACACGCACACACACACTCTGTGTCTTGCATAATTGTCTGTTAGCGATAAGAAGTCAGGATTTACGAGCGACTGCCCGGGCAACGAACCCGCCCAGCTGCTCAGCAGTTGCAGTCAGTGCATTAGAAGGGCATTTAAAAATTGCAGCAAAGTGCAAACGCAGCGCCGTAGTCGAAGCATTTTTCATGCACTCGGATTTTGGCCACAAAACAAAAGACATAACCAACACACAGATACAAACACGCACACACGCACTACGATGCATTGGCCAGACATTGCTTGCTTCCAGTCGAATTGGGTACACACGCTGTACCCAGATAAATTTCCGAGGGACAGCCCAAAGACGACGACGCTGCAAAAGTTGCAAGACGCCTCGCCTTGGTCCTGGCTGACTTTGAAAGTTGTGCGCCAGCAGTTAAGCCCAGCTTTGCAGTGTGTGTGTGTGTGTGTGTGTGAGAGAGAGTGTGAGCACAAGCAGCTTTAGCATGCACACACACACACAAATAAGGAAACGGATAAAGAAGTTGTAAAATAAGTTGCACGAACTCATGTGAGTTTCATAAATTATACAAAATAATGCATCGAAATATGTTGTGCAAGACAAAAACGCAAAAAAGCCGAAGTGAAATACAGTGAAAACTCGCTCGGGCGGACAGCGACTGTTAGTCTTTTATTGTCGGGCTAAGCTTAGTGTACATTAGGTTGGGTTAGGTTAAAAACAGCACTCGCCTTAAAGCAGCTGTGGATCTTTTCTTAAATGTTGTAAGTTTAAAGAAAAAATAAAATATTTTAGAGCGAGTTTATTATTACTAGAAAATACGGGTCCAACGCCAGGCTGCAATAAAAAGAAAATGATCTTGTTAAATTTAATTTTCTTTTAAGCTATAAATATCAAATTTGAAGCGCAAAATAGGCTCAGCTTGCAATATATTTAGTGGGAGGACCAATTGTGAAAACAAAATTTTAATATTTTATTAATATTAATGTAAAATATGACAAACCAAGGTTTGAACCAAAAGCTGGCTTCATTTATCTAGAAACCCAGCTTCAAGAATGGAACCTAAAAGAAAATAGTTAGTTTGAGCCATGAGCCAAGCCACAAACCATTTAATTTTACTTGTAGCCCTAGTTATAAGAACTTACTGATTTGCAGATTAACTAAATAGGCAGTTCATGTCAAAAATAATATACATGTAAGCTTCAAGAATGGAACCTCAAGCCAGGAAGTTGATCCAAACCGTAAACCGAATCTTAGCCCATTTTATATTTGTAGCCCCGACTATAAGTTCGCACTGGTACGCAGATGAACTAAATTTCTAGTTTATGGCCCATGGCCTGACAACTTTTGTAGAAAATGAACTTTTCCGTGACGCTTATTACCAATAATGTGCCACAAATGTAAGCAATTAAAATAGCTTCTGGAGATTTGGGTCAAGTCAAGCGAAATCCTCGTTGCCGACAGCGCAAATGAGCCAAATATTTTTATAACTTAATTAAACACTGATTTTCCTTTCAGCATTTTTACGAACATTTTTATGGCAGCACAAACGTCGCAGTGTGCCACAGAAAATGAAGTTCTATGCAATTTGTTTTATTGTCCATGGCTGTGTCCGTGAGGTCGGATCTTGGTTTTGTCTTGTGGCCGGCCGGCTGACCGGCTGGTCAGCTGCCAACTGGGGAGTATTACGAATACATATACATGCATGTATATATGCTGTGTCGTCTATTTTTGGGCCACTGGCAAAAACGTAAAACTTATTTTGTGCAACTGCCAATTGTTGGACTTAGTTTTTGGTCGTGCCAACAAAGCTGCCGTCTCACTCACTGCCAATGTGCCAGTTATTCGATATTGCTCCATATAAAAGTAATTCGTATCGAGCCAACACACACATTGAGTTCAAAAAGTGAAGAGCTCTTCGGTGTGCTTTTATTTTGATTTTCTTCTCACCCGGAGAATCTTTTGGGCAAACAACTTGCTCCACTTGTGCAAAGCCCCAAGGTGTCAATGGCTGTGTAAGTAATCAGTTTAATGGCTTTTTGTGTAGCAAATATTCGACAAAATGAAGACATTAAAATGCAATTAATATTTGTGGACGACTCTAGGCTACCTTCTTGTTGTTCTTCTTATTGTGGCTGTTCAGTAAGGGCTCTCCACATTTTCTTGGCTTAATTTAATTCATTACGCAAATTAAAGTGTGAAGTGGTCGTACTGTAGAATCTTTACAAAGTGATTGATGTCTGGCAAAATAAGTTTGCTTTACGTAACGAGGGTACAGTTGAATTCAGCTTATAAATTACCAAATGCTAAAACTAATTCCCAAAATACTCGGGGTTGCACAAATTAATGTGTTACACAAATTAAATGCCGTGCAGCAATCAATGTCGAATTCTTAAAAATAAAACTATCTTTTGAAGTGGGCTATAAAATGTAGGTTACATATTACAAATTGGAAAAGAAAGAAATTTAGTTAAACTATTGTGTTATTTCTTGAGTATTGATTTCTGTGCGTTTAGCTCCCACCCGAGTACAAACTGCTGCCCAACCTTAATCTCTAATCGAGACAGTCCATCACTCTAACCAGCAATTGAGTGCCTTTTAAAGTAAACTTTAAATTCGATCCATTTATTTTCGCTAGTGACTTAAGACAAATAATACCTGAGATGACTCACCTAGAGACTTGAATAAACAACAACACGAGGAAAAGGCAATAAATGTGCCATAGAAGACACCTGGCGCTGGCTGCATCCGCAAGCTAACCGAACCGAAGCCAAGACAAATGTGTTGTAAATAACGCGTATCAAAGTGTTGTGACAACGCCAACGGCAGCCCAAGCTGGGTAAGTGGAACACCCTTTGGGCAAGCAGATGGAAGAAGCAACACAGAAGAAGCTGGCAACGAACGATCTGAAGGCAACAACTCAACAAAACGGAAATACAAATAAAATATGTTGCACACTTTGCCACGCACAGTTGCACCCAGAACTGGAGAGCGGCAACAAAATGAAAAGTAAAGGACTCCAAATATAAGTAGATTGGACGAACAACAAAGACAACCAAACAGCTCATGTTATGCAATTTACGTGTGCATTCAGCAGCAGCAACAACAACAAAAACTACCAATAGTAAGTAATAATAAATCCTTTGAGACAGTTCTCAAAATGGTTTCTTAATACAGCGTCGAGCACTTTGTCACTTTGCCATTGCCCGGAGACGAGCCGGAAATGCTGCAAACGAACCAGAGCCAAGTGCAACGGTCAGTGAGTGCATCATGGCCATCGACAGCGGAGCCACTGACCTGGCCAGTATCCGCATTCAATATGCCATTCGCAACACAAAGAACAACAAATAACAAACAAAAAAAGCAGCGAAGCGTTCAACATGCTGGAATCATCATTAAAAAACAAGTCAAAATGCGGAGTGCAACACAACACGACTTTGAGATATCCTGTAGCCGGGGACAAGGCTCAGTAACAGACATTGGATATAAACATGCACACATACTCGAATGTTGCGCAGCTTATGAGGTACCTCTTCTTCACTTAGCTCTAAGGGGACGGCATTCTTTAGGAACTTCGTTGTTTGTTGTCCCAACTTTGTGCAATTTTCAGCAAATATCCTTAAGATCAAAGCTTGGCTAGCTTGAGGAGCGGGAGAAACGGGTGAGCTATCAAAAACCTAATTATTCTTTATTAAAGAAACAAGAAATTCAAATTTAACTCTTAGTCTCCGATTTCGACTAAAAACTTTTTGAGACCAGAAGCCCGAGAAGTCCATTGTCTAGGCATTCTCTACGACAATCCATTTTTAAAATATAAAATCTCTAGCTCTAAGATTTCTATATCAACATGCTCTTGCTGTTGATGATAGTTGTCTTGATTAAAAATATATATCGAAGTATAAATATATAACTTCTTGGGTCGGAGATGCATCCTTCTGCCTATTACATACATTTGCCCAAAAACATCATACCCTCTTTGCCCATTTTCATTGGGTACAGGGTACAACAAGCGAAGGACGACAACTTGCTTTATGACATTTTCACTGACAGCAATTGCAGCAGCCACGACCGATGTCCAATGGTTACTGGAAATTGATATAGCATATTCAAGGGAAAACCGAAATGGAAAATGAAAAAAAAAAAAGGGAACTTGATTATAAATTAAACCAGCAGGCAGGTATATTATGCAACTTCTAAGCTCGTATATTTCGATTATATATATTTTCTAGTTTGTGTTTTTGTTGTTGTTGTTGTTGTTATTTTTTGTTCAGCTTCTAATATATGCGCCATCTTCTATAGAACTGTTCATGGAGTGGGAGACATAAATAACAGCGAGGGGTGCACAGTGGGCAAAACAGAAACTCAATTTCATGAACCGCTCATGCATGTTGGCCATTGTGTGCTCACGTGTGCGTGTATGTGTGTGTGTATGCGAGTGTGTTTGTGTCTGTGTGTGTGTAGCTCTCTTCTACTGACTCCTGCTCGCGTTTTGAGGCAAACTGCAGGACATGTTCGGTGACACATTGTGCATATGCAAAGCCCCCAAACACAAAACTCTAATCTATTTAATAACTCACGTGGAGCACAGACAGGGCGACAATGTCGGCGCGATAAACTCAAATTGACTGGCCCGTGTCCTGGCACGCCCCCCCCCCTTCCCTCTCTCCCACAGCCCTTACCACAAGGGAGCTAGGAGCTACAAGTCGAGTGATGAGCACATCGTGCAAATCTATCAAAAATGTTGGCATTGCCGCAAAAATGTCAGTGAATTCTCGCTTGGATGGCTGAACTGGCTCGTTCCAAGCATGGAACTAGACTATTTGGTTTGGCAAACGCAATTGTGAGGCTGTTGTGCGCCCTTTCAACTCCGGCCCTGAATTCGTGAATTATAACAATCACACTAACTTAATTACACGCATATATAAGCACACACACACAGACACACTCACACTCACACAGATGACAAAAGGACAAGCGCTGCCGCAGGACATCGAGGCATGTGTGCAGCCTCCTCTGCCCAATGATAAGCAAAGCCAAGCGGTTAACCGCACAATGTGGCCGATGGGCGGTGGGCGTGGGCACAGGGCACAGGGCACAGGGCAGATGCATGCATACACTAAGAAAAACATTTTTTAAACAGGCCTCAATGCCTTAAATATTATTATTAGGTTTTCAACAAAAGGGGACAGTTTTGCCAGTTTTGCCTTAAAACAAGACTTATTGCACTGAAACCATTTTGTCAGAGCAAATGCAGATTTTAATATGTATATTGATATTTAGGTATTATATAATCTTCTATTTGTTTTAATAATAGTATACTATATTACAATGCATTTAACAATTAAACATATTGTAGAGAATTTTGGGTTTTATAAATTCCAATTTCTGTGCAGTTTCTAGGGCTGGAATAGACTATATATTTTAATTGCTTGGCCTCTATATCAAATTGGCAAATCAGGCAAAATTATTCTTGGTCAAAATAATTCGATTTTATATATCCCACTTGCTAGGCAGGAATGGACTGTATTGTTCAAAAAGCTCCTTAAACGTTCGCCAACCTTCCTCTTTTTGTCAACTTCAACTAAATAACACGTAATTTTAAGCTATTCTAGTAGATTTATTTATTTTTCTGAGTGTACACCCACACACATATGCTGAAATGCCATTTTGAGGCTCTGACAACTGTGACAATATTTTAATGAAAATTGACTCTTGGTTGAAGGCACATTTTTCTTAACGATAAAAAATTTCCGAGCTGTTCCTGTAACGCGTTATACTGCAGCTGGAAATAAAATATGAGAATGTATAATGCTCTCATGCTTAACCCTTTGACTAACAACTTTTGGACGCAGCTGCTCCAAACGTGGTCGCCAAGTATAACCAGGCTGAGTGAGAGAGTGAGGGAACGGCAAGGTAGGAGGGCGCACAAAGTGCCTTAGGTGCAGACACGTACAGTAATACAAATAAAGAAAACAATAATAGAAAATGGAGCCAAAGTCAGTACAAATAAAGGGCCAAAGGAGTCGGAGACGCAGACGCTAAAAGTACAACAGCTGGCAAGGCGAAAGCTGGCAGAGCATTAGGACTTGGCCGGAGCCAGGATGCCCAAGTTGAATGCAAGCCCTGTTGTTGCCTCTATTTGTGCCCCCCTCACCCCTTCTTGGATGCATCGAAGACTTTAGCGGCCCCAGAAGCTGCCCTTTGTCTATGGCAAGCATTGCAAGTCCTGGGTACAATAAATGTTGTCAAGCTGTAAACTGCATTTCAGAATTGAAATACCTGACTGGGTGTAGCGCATTTTGGCAATGCAAGTCCTCAGTGTTGCTTGGACAAATGTTTATTTAACATTTGGCTTTTAATTTTCCACTCACGTTTGTGCCTTTTCACGTTTTATTCATCTGTTCCGGCGACTGCACTCTTTGGGGGCCACAGCAACTAGAAAGCTACAGATAAATATATGTTTATTATGTATCAAACGATTGCACTAGGTCAATGAAAGGGTTTGCTTGCCCCAAGCCCGAGCTCAATGAAATAAAAACTCATCTTCATTAAATTAAAACTATAAATCTACAAAGTTCGGTACTTATATTTTTATTTTCAATCGTTGCAGTATAATTTTAAACCCATAAATAATTGAAATTTATAGATAAAAACTTGGCAGGCAGCCGAATATTGAACGCAGACCAAGTAAAAATTACCTTGTGGGCATATCTGTATGTTTGTCTATGTATATGTAAGCATGTGGACCTTAATTTCAAAACGCAAACCAAGTTTACTTTTTTCACAACTGCCCCCGCTGTGCTGCAAAATAACAAGCAGAAACGTATTTTTAATTATCGCCCTTCTCTGCGATTCTCATGAATTCAATTAATCCCTACAGCCTTACATGCTATGCTATATAACGGGATAACCAATAAAATATTATGTATTTTCAATGTGGAACCTGCTTTGCTTTAATCATTCACCAGAGAAATATGACCCAATAAATATAACATAGTCATAAGGTTAAGTCTTTGCGACATTTAAGCATCTTGTGACCCTTGGTTTGTTCACGCTTGAATCAGTCTAGGGGTCAATGAAAAGGTTTTTAATTAAAAAAAAAAACAAAATGTGCTAGTCCAAATATGTATTTAAACGGACAGCCGGCATTTAAACGCATCAATGGCCAGGCCAACATAATAAAAAGCCAGCGTGCATCGAGCTGGCACACTTAGTTCCCATGTCGTCCACTGGCTGGCTGGACAGTTATCCGTTTGCTGAGCTGGCGGATGAGCGCACACAATCTTGGCCGATGGTGGCATCGCCTTGGAATGCTGCCGCTCTGCTGGCCTTGTACTTGCTGCTCGTGCACTTTGCGCCCAAATGGATGGCCAGGTGCGTATGTGTGTGTGCGTGTGTGTGTGTGGAATACAAACAGCACCCTTAAATACCATCATATTCTCTTTCATTCATGCTGCATCCGTTGCAGTCGCAAGCCGTTTCAGCTGCGTGCCCCATTGTTCTGCTACAATTTGTTCATGGCCTTGCTCAACGCCCACATTTGCCTCGAGCTCTATACGGCATCGCGGGCCCTTAACTACAGCCTCCAGTGTCAGCCGTACAGAGTTAGCTATGATCCACATGAAGTACGTGTAAGTTGATGTATATTACTGTTCCACTTTGGAGTAGCGAGAATATTGTCTGTGCCCACCTTAATCAACAGATTGCGACGGCGTTTTGGTGGTTCTACATAACAAAGATTTTGGAGTTTGCCGACACTTTATTTTTTATACTGCGCAAGAAGTGGTCACAGCTGACTTTTTTGCACGTTTATCATCACAGCAGCATGTTTGTTATATGCTGGATAGTAGTAAAATGGATTCCCACCGGCTCCAGTAAGTTATGTAGCTTATACAAGTATTTTCCTAAGGCGCATCGCTTTCAGCCTTTGTTCCGGCTCTGATGAACTCGTTTGTGCACATCATCATGTATGGATATTACTCACTGAGCGCTCTGGGACCACGCTTATACCCATATCTATGGTGGAAACGCTATTTAACGGTGCTGCAGCTGTTGCAGTTTGCATTGGGGCTGGCCTGGGGAGCTCAGGCTCTTGTATACAGGTGTGAGTACCAGCCATGGCTTAGTTTTACGGGAGTTGCATACATGATCTCTTTTCTATTTCTCTTTGGTCGTTTTTATGCGCAAAAATATACGAAATCAATTAAAGAGTGCCGTTAATATCAATAAAAATAAAATATCTGACAATAACAAGCATATTTCAAATATATGAGCGGGCTTATTTTGAATTGGTATCGATAACAATCGTATCGAAGCAACTATCGCTCTCAGCTCTAGCAATCAGCTGTTTGTATTTATGAACAGTTTTGAACATTTTGAACGTTGTGTACACACTGCCCCTAACCAGTTGACATAACAACAACTGCCGAGGCCCACGGAATTGGAATAATGCAAATTATTAAAGTAGTTACCCGTAATTTAGTCAAACACAAATATCTTTGCCAGCCAAAATTGCTAAATGTCACATCCACGCTTTACTATACCACGCCCAAAGGTGAGTTCAATGATATTTTCATTTAAGAAAAACGCCGGCTAACAAAAGTTAAGCTTAGGCGCCGATTTACCATTAGCGCCGGGCTACCAGCCAAAGGTAGTGGAGGAGGCGTATTGGGCGCGTGAGAAGGAGCCAAAGAAGGAGGTGCTCACCTCTTGCAAACGTGGCACATACCGCATGATACTTCCGCCTCCAAATGTAACTGGCAATTTGCATTTGGGGCACGCGCTGAATGCCACCGTGCAGGACGTAATTGCGCGCCAGGAACGACAGCTGGGCTACGAGGTTGAGTGGGTGCCGGGCACCGATCATGCCGGCATTGCCACACAGGTGGTGGTGGAGCGCACATTAGCCGCGACCAAGGGTACAACACGGCAGGAAATCGGACGCACAGCCTTCCTGGAGGAGGTGTGGAAATGGAAAGCAGAAAAAGGCGCTGGCATTGTGCAGGATTTGCGCCAGCTGGGCTGTACGCTCAACTGGGAGCACGAATACTTCACCATGGACGACAAGCAGGCACTTGCGGTAAATGTGGCCTTTGAGCGACTCTTCGACGAGGGATTAATTAAGCGACGCAACTCGCTCGTGAACTGGTCGTGTGCCCTGCGCTCCGCCATCTCCGACATTGAGGTGGAAACTGTGGAGATAAAGGAGCCCATTGAAATTGCCGTGCCTGGCTACGACCACAATGTGCTTTTCGGACGCATCTTTGATATTGCCTATCGCGTTGTTGGTGGCCAGACCGAAGAGGATGGCACGGCCGAGGAGATTGTCGTGTCCACCACAAGACCCGAAACCATTCTAGGTGATGTGGCGGTTGCTGTGAACCCGGGCGATCCACGTTACAGCAAATACCGCAGCCGGGAAGAGGTCAAGCTGCGGCATCCCTTTCGGGGCGACACAATTCCTTTAATCTTTGATCTCAGCGTGGACAGAGAATTCGGCACGGGTGCCGTTAAGATTACTCCAGCCCATGATAAATTCGACTTTGAGCTGGCTTCTCGCCACAAGCTGGAGGGACGCCGTGTGTTTACCGAAAACGGCGAAATCGAGGAGGCCTATTCAGAGTTCCAGGGCAAACCACGCTTTGAGGCACGCGATCTGATTGTGGATCGCCTGGAGGAGTTAGATCTGCTGCGTGAGGTCCGTGCACATAAGATGCAGCTGCCGCTGTGCTCGCGCTCCAAGGACATTATTGAATACATGATGGTGCCACAATGGTTCCTCGAGACCAAATCCATGGCCGAGGATGCTCTGTCGGAGTTGAAAAGCGGCCGACTGCAAATTATGCCCTCCATCTTCGAGCTGGAATGGGAGCGCTGGCTGCAGGACTCGCGCGACTGGTGCATTTCCCGTCAGCTGTGGTGGGGTCACCAGGTGCCCGCATACCAAGCCTTTGACTCCAAAGGCAATAGCTGCTGGGTGGCCGCCGTCGATGAAGAAACTGCCCGCGAAAAGGCGGAGCTCAAATTGGGCAGCAAGGAGCTAAGACTGACCCGTGACCCAGATGTACTGGACACCTGGTTCTCCTCTTCGCTGTTGCCCTTCTCCGTGGCTGGTTGGCCCGATGAAAGCTACAAAGAGAAGTACCCGCTAAACCTGATGCAAACTGGCCATGATATACTCTTCTTTTGGGTGGCGCGCATGATGATGATGGGCCTGAAGCTAACCGGCAAGGCGCCCTTCGATCGCATCCTGCTCAATGGCATCGTGTGCGATGCACAGGGCCGAAAGATGTCCAAGAGCCTGGGCAATATTGTGACGCCACAACAGGTCGTTCAGGGCGCCAGCCTGGACAGCCTGAAGGCTGCACTGCAGCAATCCTGCGATTCGGGTATAATTAATCCCAAGGAGCTAAAGACATCTACTATGGGCATGACCAAAATGTTTCCGAATGGCATCCAAGAGTGCGGCACGGATGCGCTGCGCTTTACGCTGCTGAGCCATAATATTAAGAATCATTTCATCAACTTTGATGTGGCCGCCTGCTACACCAACAAACTGTTCCTCAACAAGATCTGGCAGGCCATGCGCTTCACACTGGGCTCGGCCAAATCTTTGGGCATTGGTCTAAATGAATTTGAGACCATGGAGGGCGTTAAGCTCGGCATGTGGGATCGCTGGATCATCGGGCGACTGGCCGAGACCCTGTCCATATGCTCCGACTGCTCCACCAACTACAATTTCCACATGGCCACCTCGGCGCTGAAGCATTTCTTCTATCAAAATATGTGTGATGTTTACCTGGTAAGTCTTTAGCATGCAGCCACTCACTTTGTGCACCACCTAATGCTGTTCATGTCTGCCAGGAAACCACTAAGGCGGCCATCAGCAGTCGTAGCCCCAGCGCCTACGTCCACGTGGCCACTCTGACCGCCTGCCTCAGCTGGGGCTTGCAGGCCATGTCGCCTTTTACGCCCTTTGTTGCCGACGAACTGCTGCAGCATGTGCCGCTCAATATTGAGCTAAAGCTATCGCAGTATCTGGACCCCAAGCTGCAGGCCGAGGTCGCCGATATAGTCAGCATTTGCACGACCGTGCGGCAGGTGAAGAGCCGCAATCAGATCAGCAAGCGTCACTCACCCAAATTGTGTCTATTTGCCCAAAACGAGGAGGCAGAAACTATACTGCGTCGTCATCTCGAACAGATTGCTGTGCTTACGCGCTGCGGGAGCGTGGAACTGGAGCTGCTAAACGAAGAGTCTAAGTTCTCCAAGAAGCTGAACTTTTTCTCAACAGCCGGCGCGCTTTGCTCCTTTGGCGTTAGCATGAACGAAGACATCCCTATGCCTCCGGCCAAGCGCGAAGAAATGATTAAGGAGAACAAGAAGAAGCTCAAGAAACTGGTCAATGAGCTGCAGAAGTATCGCCTGCGCGTGGACAACGAGGCCTTTCAGCTGATGGCCGACAGTGCCACAAAGGTGCATTTTAATAATCGGGTGAGTCCATATTCTAATCCTAATCCTAATATATATAGTTGGCTTTTACTAATCCCCTTAATCAATTACAGATCAAAGAGCTCGAGGCAGAAATTGATATTCTTATTCGTTTGGCCGCGTAGTTCAAATCGTACTCCTGAGCGAACTTGTTAGATAAATTATGTACAGTAAAACCTGATATTGTTAGACAGATATATGTGTTAACCCGATTTAAGACTTGTATAAAATATTAATGTGTTGTATAAATTAATTTATTGCTATTGATTATTCATCTCGAGTTGGCATCCATATAACATATAAATATTTTAAATTATAGCACTGGACACGAATTTTGCGAGTAGGATAAATAGAAGCCACGATTCGATATATCCATCTCCTCATTGGCATCCGTCACGACGTAGACCACAAAGGGTTTCGCAGCACTTGTCGTCGCGACCAGGCCCAGGCCGCAGAACCTGTCGCTGGGCATATTGGTGCCGCCCTGCGTGGGCGCCGGTATAATTATGTAATCCGTTGTGCAGTCCTGACTCTGCACCGCGGATGTGGCCAGCAGCGTGGGATCTACGGCGCCCACATCGTTTGTCATTGTAAATGAGTACGCATCCGAGCTGACCTGACTGTATGTAATGGAGCATATGCCAGTGGCCTTGCGTATGCAAATGCCATAGCGCATGCTGGCCAACTGCCGTGTGCCCTGCACACCAATTGAGTTGAGCGCCGAGGATGCAGCGGAAACATAGTTGAAGCTGGCAATATTGCCCGAGGATCCCATGTGATACTGCAGGCAGCCGGCGGGCGCCAGTGTCGCCGAGGTGCAGCCAATCATGCGTAGCTGGAACTGCCACTGGCGATTGAAAGTGTAGCTGCCGGATGTGGCCACCGATATGGTAATGGAACCGACGCCATTGAAGTCCACATAGACATGCTGGCCGGAGTTCTCGCCACAAATAGTGGGCACCTGCGAGGCACCACCCGATATGGTCAACGCATCGGTGCTGCACAAACCGTCACCGGTTGGCGGCGCCAGCGACAGAGCCAAAAAATCGATGCGCAGCTGGCAAATGGTTGAGTCCGGCGGAGTGACCACAATGCTGCAGCGTCCGCCGCCGGCAAAAGGTGCCGGATAGTTGCTGTTGTAGAAATATGTGTTGTTGTAGCTGGTGCTGGCGCCACAGGTGCGCTGGTCTGTAAAGCAGGCGGCGTCAGTTCAGCTTTGGAGGGGCTTAACATGAACTCGTGTCAACTTACATATGCAGCAAATGGCCTGGTTGGTAATGGTGGAGCAACTGCCTGCTGCCACGCCATTATTATCGGTGCATTCTCCACTTATGACGCAGGTGCCCATGAGAAGATTGTTGCCCAGGCAAATGTCATTGGAAAAACGACCAATCGTATAGAAGGGAAACCCTGTTAAGTTTCAGAAGGTACTTTATTAATATAACAGATTATTTAAATTGCAATTAATTATAACAAATTATGAATATCCTAAAGGCTTCATCAGCACCATTTAAGATTTTGATGCTAAACTAGCTCAATATCATTTTTTTCATTGAAAGCTGAAAAATCAGGAAATCAGAAAAATTCTATGGTTAGCCTTGGGAATGTTAGTAGATAGCAGGGTCTTTTATAATCAAGCCCAAGTAAAACCCATTGTGATTCTTATTCAAAACTAGTTTGATCTCTCCTTTTTATCGGTGGCTGGAAACCAAGAACATTCTAGGATACATTAGATTATATTAGGCGATAATTAGGTCTAACATAATCAGATTGATCACGAAGATGGTGCACAACTATTTTTCTTCGAAAACTATTTCAATTACAATTGATAGTAACAGATATGATGAAATTTTCATACAAGAAACATCTCTCTATTATTCTATCACTCAGATCAAAGTAACTGGGAAGTCAAGTACCACGGGGAATCTGTAAGTTGCCGCGCTGTCACAGAGTGTGGCTAAGACTAAAGAGTTCAGCACGGAGCCTGCCCACTGGGTGATAATTGAAATGTGACCCACATACATGCATTGGACTAGCGACGGCAAAACAAACGTCCAGCACTCACACACGAGTAGGGAAGCTTTAAGCTTTTACTTGGAAACTTACAGCGAGGATTTCGCGAGCTGCTCCGCGCCAGGCCCGTCTCCGTCAGCGACGCAGCCTCCTTGTCTAGCAAATCCAGTTTGTCTTCGAGCGAGCGACTGGCATTGTGCGCTGCATCCGAGTTGAGCAATTGGCTGCTGGCCCGGGCCGCGCTGTAAATGCCCACGATGTAGCTGCTGAAGAAGAGGGCGACAATGGCCAAAATGCGCGTGGAATGTGTGCGTTCTGACATGGCTAAAATGACGATCCAATTCACTTTCGGTTTTTCACTTAGGACCGACGAAACACGGCGGAAAGAACGTCTTGTACGCGTCTATGCTTCGATTGAGACTGAGCTGAGGCGGGCCGCTGCTCTGGAGCTTACTGGGCCACCGGTGAGACGGCAGGTGCTAATTGAAAGACCGCGACGCGCGGCTCAAGCCTTCCCTGCGCTCCACATTTCTCCGTGGCGGGCAATGCAGCGCAAGTCGTGTGGAGTTTATTTCGGCGGCTGCAAATATTTGGAACATTCACGCACAGCCAGTCGACGGTTCTGTAAAAGAAAAAAAACATCTTCAAAATGACAGCAAACAAATGAACGGGTCGATGAAAGTGATACACAGCATCCCATACCGAAGATATGCGCACATAATTTTTGGTACACGCGTGAAAAATCTTCGCATGATTCCTCCGAGCGTAGAAAGTGCGCGCTGTTTGCTTTTGTTTGAATGTGCAAACACATTAGCCAAGTCTGAGTTTATCGCTCAATTTGAATTTATTTATAGTTCACTCTCATTTCGAGCCGAGCTTTATTACAAATGATGTAACAGCTCTTTAACGGCACAATTCGCATTACAGTGGCAACGCTGGGCGTTGCTCAAACCGCAACTGCATTCATCGCCTAGTGATGGGCACTGCGCACGACTTCAATTAGCAAAGTCGCACTAATTGCATCGAGTTAATATATGTGCCGGCTACTAATTAATGTTTAAACTCATTCAGAAAGGTAAAAGTGGTCAATTCTTGTGAGGAAACCCCGTAGAAAGTTGCAACAAAGTTGCCACAAATAACAGTTATTTCATAAATGTGTTTTTTAGAAGGCATACCGGTAAGTTTACAGCATGTGCTGTCACGTTTTTTATTACAACAAATAACTAGCATCTAGATATTAGTGCCAAATAGTGGTAAAAAGTTAGCTTATTCAATTTCAATGATGGCGCCCGCCTTGGCCAACGCCTCCTTCAGCTTCTCGGCTTCCTCTTTCGTAACGTCCTCCTTGACAATGGTCGGCGCACTCTCCACAAACTTCTTGGCCTGCACCAGATTCATGCCCTCGAGCAGATTCTTCACCTCCTTAATTAGCGCCACCTTTTGCTTCTCATCGAACTTGATCATCTTCACCTTGAACGAGGTTTGTACTTTCTTGGGCGCCGCCTCCTCCTCATCATCGGCAGCAGCCGCACGCGCGGGGCCGGCGGCAGCGAACTGGGGCGCAAATGCAGTCTCTGGCAGATTCAGTTTTTGTTTCAGCAGCGTGCTCAGTTCGGCCACCTCGAGCAGATTAAGCGCGGCTATATTGTTGACGATACTGTCCAGCTTTGGGTTGGGTGGCTTGGCGACACCTTCCGGCACGGGTGGCACGAGTTTCTCAGCTGCTGCAGCTGCGGCCGGAGCAGCAGCACTGTACTGACGTTGAACATGGATTTGGCGTCTAAGTTGACGCAGCACAAGGCGTGTGATTTGCATTTTGTGTTCAGCTGGCAATGAGAAACATGATTTAAGTTAGCCAAACATCTAAATATGAATCTATTTCCATTTACTTGTGTTTTTCTAATGGGCAAATGCCGCAGAGGGTTATGTGAGCACTAGTGATGGAAGTTTACCGAAAAAGGGCAATAGACGCACAGCTGTTCGTGCTCCAGACTCTGTTATCGATGCGGGCAGTGTTACCCTATTAAATAATTGAACTATCGAGATTTCAAATAGACAGCTAAAAATAATAGCTTGGTAAATGTAGCTTTTTTTGGTCAGATCTGGCTGCTTTCAAATACATATATGCTTGCTAACCTAATACTGGGCTATTATTGAAAAACATTTGTTAAAAATTCAATATACAATTTTTATTTTCGGCAGGTATATCCATTAATTATTAGGCCCTTATATAAGCTGTTACGTTTAAACACTATAAACCTTGACATAATCAATTGTCAGCTGTGCCTGATCTAGCCACTGATCCTGCTTTGTCTTAAAAGTGTTCCAAAAATCGCTCATGGCTCGAGGATCTGCCTCATGCCAAGGCTTATCTGGGTCGTAATAGAACTCATTGAATCCTGCAACGCCTAAGCCAAAGGTCAAATAGAATTCCTGATCAAAGGGCGCAATGCCAGTGCCCTTCTCCAGCTCATCCGCATTTGGCAGCCTTTTATTGGCAACGCTCGTCTCGCTGAATGCGCCAGTCTCACTGCCCTTGGTGCACAGCTCCTGTCCATCCACGAACCACTTGAGCTGCCGTGGCGTCCACTCCAGCGTATAGTTGTGGAAGCTCTCGCTCCAATCGTCGCTGCTGCTGCTGGAGCCTAGCCTGTGGCACAGCTTGGTGGAACGCAACGGCTCCTGAGCATTGAGCAATGCTCCGGCATAAAGGTCCAGTTGTCCCCCAGTCGTTTGTCGGGCATAGGCAATGCGCAACTGACCAGACTGATAGTCGTCTTTGCCGTAAGCATGGGCCTTGGGCTGTAGCCATAGCTGGGGCACCAGGTATTTGGCCCGCGGCATCTTGGCGCGCACCTCGACCCGTCCGTATTTGAAGGAGAAGCTCTTCTTGGTGGAGAACTGTGCGGACACTAGTGGGGGCAGCTTGTCCGGCCTGTTCCTGGCATCACGGACACAGTCCGCAGTGCCCTTTTCGCCAGTGCATTCGCTTCCCAGATCCAACTTAGAGTCCAAACTTTGTTTGTACAAGCGTTTCGTTGAAAAGGGCTTCAGCACAACCTTTCCATTGACCAGGCTCAACGTATCGGGTGCATCATTCGTGTATATGTTAAACTCATAATCGGGAACGCCAGAGAAACGATGCTCCAGCAGCCATTTGGCCGGATCCAGCCTGCCAGCGTTAAATTCCTCCACAAAAATAAGTTGGCTAACGCAACGAGTCGGCACGCCGTTCACATGCGTCTTGGGAGGATCACAAGCGCCGAACCTAATGTCGAAATCTGGGTCTCCCGTGAATGGAGTTGTTGTTCGCGGTGGTGACGCAGTCGTTGAAACGGGCGACGGCGTGCTGCCACTGAATGCATTTACCGCGAAAGCGCCATCATCTTCGCGATAACCCAGGCCGTTGTAGATAACGTAGGTCCAATAGTATAGAACGTCGCCTGGTTTTAGCTCGGCCTGGCGATCTCGGAAAGTCCAACGTCCGTTTTTCATCTTGACAATGTCACGTGCCCAAGTGCCTGCCTCCAGACCTTCCATCTCCTCATTCAGTTTGCCATGGAAGGCGAACAGCGTAATGCCCTCCTCGTGCGGTATGGATACCTCAAAGCCTTTCGGGTAGAACACCTCAATTTTAGCCTTGGGCACCTTGTAGCCACTGGCCAGGGCCAGTAGCAGCAGGAAAAACCCACAGAAAACAAAGCGCAAGCCGTGCGACATGACGGCGTTGAGAATAACAAATGCGCACAAAGCTCAAATAAAGAATCTTGAGTAGAGTCGCTTATCAAAAAACCGGTCTTATTTGTTAGTGTACATACTATCACTAGCACGGTCGTGATTCTTTTTAATGTGTTTCCCTATGAAAAGATCAACCGGTATGAGAACGGCAATGGATATGTTTAATTGCATTACATATAGTATATATTGAACATTTCAAGTTGTACGTGCGTTTGTGTGTGTATCTAATTTTAATTGTAATAAATCGATTTTTGAATACGCAAACGCGCGCGCTGTCTATCGTTTCAGTGTGGCCACATCGATAAATAAAGATCGAAGTAGGCGACGAAACAGCTGTAAAAAGCTTACTGTAAAATGTTTAGTTGCAGGTCGACTGCTTGTCTGAGCAGCTATCGTAGTTGTCTAGGAAAACTTGTATAAAAATTACACAAAAACCCACAAAAAAAATATAAAATAAGAATTATGTACATAAATTAGTGAAAAATATCTGACACAGCTTTTTCTAGTGGGGTAACAACAAAAGGGTGCACATATATTTTGTATACACATATTACACAAAGGCCAAAACCTAAAGAACAACATCGCTGACAATCGCGCGCGCGTGTGTGTTGCAAACGACATCCATAAGACGCAGCTGATGTTTGTGCAGTTTTTTGTATACCTGAAACAATAGTGGCACAGGAACGTTGTTGGCGTTGTTATTGTAAGTAGCGCTCTTTTATGTAATTCGCTTGTTTTCTTGTATTCTGCTTTCGTTGCTGGCAATGCAATGCGGCGTAGTGTTGCCAGATGATTCAACTCATTTACATATAGTATATAATAGTGTAATATATTTATGTAATGCATAAATGCAATTGTTATCCGTAATTCATTCAGTTGCATTTTATTGTTTGAATTACATTATAAATATATCGATATATCGGCATAAATTGCAATAATGCACAACGGCAACGCTGCACTCCGAGCAGCTGTCGTTTCTGTTGTTGTTGTTGGGCTGTCAGCAAAGCACGAAACACCGTATGAAAGCAAAACAACCGAAGATGATTGATTTTTCGTCGTGCGCGCTTGAGTTTGTGTCGGAAAAGTAGGCGACGAGTACGACAAAACAAGCTTGTGAAAAGCTGGCAGCAGTGAAAATTTTTAGAATTCAGTCTCACAATCGTCGCGCTAGCGAGCGGACGGAGCTGTTCGAAAATTAACAAAAAAAAAAAAAAACAAATTAATTTCATTGGATACTAAGCTTCAAATTCTAGTGTAAACATTATGTGTTTTCTTAAAACCAAAATTTCTAGTGTAATTTAAATTTTTTGTATGAAGGGAAAATCGTGTGCTGTTGTGCGTGTGTTTAATTGTTTGTTATTCTGTAATGTGTGCACTAAGTGAGATAAAATCATGAACAACAACAACTCGGTATCAAATGTCGCGTTGAAGTTTTTAAATGAAAATAAATGCTAAAGCTGCTTGAAACTCTCGCATCGTTTACATAAAAGGAAGAAAAAATTCGCTGCCGCAGCAAAGGAATTTTTGCTGCTGCTGTTGCAGAAAATAAAAAAAAAAAAAACAAAAAAAAAATACATAGTGCCATATACGTCACACATAACAGCGCGAGTGTGAGTGAGACGGCCTGCCTGCCTACACCCCCGGAAATGTAACGCACGCACACAAACGCAAAAGAAAAACTTGCACCTGAAAGTTTTCGTGTCGTCGTGTCGTGTTTTCGTCGTCAACCTTCGTGCTCGCTCGTGCGTCGTTGCAACAACTGCCGACGAGGCCAAAGCGAAATTCTAAGTACAAAAGGTTAGTGTTATTAGCGCTACAATATTAATCGGTTGTAGGGTCGCGGCGGGGGCGGGTAAAAGATATAAAAAAGCAATTTTCAGTTTTCGACTCGCCTCGTTTGCACCTGTCAAAATGTCACTTGATATTTAACTATATCTGTGCGCAGCATTTGGCCTAATTTCATGCGGATGACAGCGCAACCCCGAAGCAGGGTTGCCTTTTTCTCTGTTGTGCGTAACCAATTGAAATTGGGGCACTGGCGAACGGAACGACGAGCGTCGAAACGAGCGTCGACGGCAGCGAAACAGTTGAGCAAAGCAAACACCGTAATAACCCCTAAATCTCAGGCCAGCTCTCGCACGCGCCCCCCCTCCCTTTTGGTTCGTCCATAGAGAGCAAAGAGTAGAGAAAAACGCTCGCCTATTTGGCCCAGTTACTAAATCTAATTGCAGACGTGTGATAATACAAATTCTTTTGAGCATTCTACAGCACTAGCAAAAAGAAAACAAAATTTCATTTGTTCAAAGTACCTTCAAGCAGATAAATTTGTTTGCACAAACACACATACACCCACACGCATGCACGCACACACACACATGCATACACACGCACACATGCAAGCGTGCAGCACTTCGCTCTCCCAGACATAACGCGCCACATTTGCGCTCTCTTGTGGATTCTGCTGCTGCCTGAGCCAAGCTGTCTATGCTTTTGGCGGCACTTTACATATGTTTTTCCGTGTGCGAGTGCGTATGTGTCTGTAACGAGTGCGTGTGTGTGTGCGTGCCAGGATGGGGGGCGTTACTGTCATTGTTATTGCTCGGCCTCTGCCTGCATCGTTGCTGTAATTCCGAGTTACTTGCTTGTTTTTTTTTTGGGGGGTCGCTCTGCTCTCGTTTGTGGGACAAATTTATGTATTGATTATGCTCTTATACCCTTTCAGCAGAAACTGTATGCGCTTTGCCATGATTCCCATTTAGGTAAATGTACAGCCAGCTAAGCGCCTTTCTATGCGATTTTCATGATTCCCATTTAGTAAATGCCCAGCCTCATGCTAAGCGCCCTTCTATGCGATTTTCATGATTCCCATTTATATAAATGTACAGCAAACTTCTAATGCCTAGCCGCCTTTCTATGCGATTTTCATAATTTCCATTTAGGTAAATGCGCGGCCTCGTGCTTAGCGCTTTTCTATACGATTTTCATGATTCCCAATTATGCTGCCGTTGTAAACGCCATTTACTAAATTTCTGTGCATATGTACATAGGCTTTGGTAGGGCAACTGCGGACAGCTGTCTACGCCTCAGCGCACATATTCATTGGCAAAACAATTTTGTTGCCGTTGTCTCTTTGCATTTAACTAATTAAACGTCCCACTGCCCCCGTGGTTCGGCTTGTTTTACAACAATCGGCGTTTTCCGGTGACAAGTTCCAATTTCAGAGTGAAATGCGTGCATAGAGCTTCCGAGAGATTGGAC